TTATGTTGAGTTTGCTGCATACATACACTTAACTGTTGATAAATAGGTAGTTCTAATGACAACGTATACTCTTGGGCAAGGACACCACCACATAGGATCGGATGCAAACTCGTGGACTTCTTCCACAAGACGCTGCAGTCTAGATAAGTGTGCAATCTCCTGCACCAGAGGAGGCCATGGTACAAAAGGTATGAGGGCCACAATAAAGCGTGCTCATCCGACAACCAGGGCAAAGAAATGCTACACCTTAGTAAACGTCATCCACCTCGTCAGGCGGACCCTTGAACTCTGGGTCATGTCAGTAGAGACTCCAGCCGTGCATGAGCATGCAGATAAACATTAGAACTTACTGTTTCTTCCAGAGAGCGCATACCACAGCCCGCTCAAACACGCAAAGCCGACCAACACGACACTAGCGTAGTTCATCGAGACCTCAGTAACAGGAAGTGCAGTCGGCATGCTAAAGAGCACCAATTCGAACAAAATCCATGCCACAGCACCGATGTTCGCTGCGATGCCTACCAAACCACCGACGTTCCAGTTAGCATGTGCGACTTCTCTCCTGCCCGTGAAGAGAGAGATGGCGATGGGAACGAGGTAGCCGATGGCGAGTGCGATAACACCTACGGATGCGAAGGCAGTAAACGCACTGCTGGAGCCGAGATTGATAAGACCGAGTAGCATCTCGATGACTGTGACGAGCGTGAGCGAGTAGATGGGCCGGTCGGCGATGGTACGGGTCCAGAGGCCAGCGAGTGGAAGCGCGTTGTCGCGACTGAAGGCCCATGTGCAGTGTGAAGCAGCAGTCGTGATCGCAATGGCGCAGAAGAGAGTAACGAATAGGACCATGATCATCAATATCAGCGCTCCGGTCTTCGAGCCCATGATAGAGTATATGACGTACGGCAGCGCTTGACCGTAGGGTGCGTTAAGGATGTCTTCGAGCGGCGGGAGCGTAAAGCATAACGGTAGGACGAATAGGAGCGATGCGAAACCACCAAAGGGTATGCAGAGAGCAATAGCGCGAGAAACTTCAATCTCGGGCTGGGCGCACTCTTCCGTCGTCGATGTCACCATACCAATGGCAGAGAAGGCGTATGCTGGTGGAAGGAGACCGATGAAGAACGTAAAGCCTGTACCCCAACCTGAGAAGCTGCTGTCGTAGTTGCCGAGCGCGTAGGAGGCTGAATGTCGACCTTGCTGGGCGCGAACTGATAGAGCAACCAGAAGTGCGATGATGGTGACGAAATTCCATACTGCGGCCACGGAGTCCACATACGGTAGCAGCTTGTCTCCTAATGAGCAAACAAGGAAGACCAGCAGACACAGCGCGTAGAAGATGAGAAGCAGTTCCCAGTCCGATGCTACCCACTCTGGGTTGTAGATCGATACCGTCGCCGCGATGAGTGAAGCGAAACCGAAGTTGACGGACAGTGCAATGGTCCAGTTTCCGATGAGCCAGAACCAGCCTGTCAGGAATGAGACGATCTTGCGTGTCCTCTTGCGCTGACCACAGAGCCGATACGACCAGTAGTACACACCAGAAGATGTTGGATACCGCGATGCCAGCTCTGCAAGCGAAATGGCAACACACCCGTTGAAGAAGAGGACAACCAATACGCCGACGAATATGGAGAGTTGACCACCACCATAGATGGCGCTCATTAAAGGACCTCCGATACCGTAGGGTACTGCCACGATGGCAAGACACATACCCAGAACGCTAATGAGCGACCGATTCTTCGTGAGCTGCGCGTCGTATCCCAAATGGACATGCTCAACGACACCCTCCTCGCGGGTAGTCACCGGACCCATTGGATTGCCGAGTTTCTTCTCGCTGTTGGTCGCCGACATAGTGGGAAAAAGACGATTCTCGAAATCAGGAGGGTAGGAATGATGCGGCGTCGAGTGTCTGCACGAGGTGAATGATTATAGCTATTACAGGCAATTCCATCTCATGCCGTACATGCGCTATGCTCGACAATGTGGCGTCCAACATGATAAGATATGACGATAGTTCAGTGTCCATAGATAGGGAGCATCGTCCATACTGGCTCTCTACCCCGGACTGAAGTGTCTTGATTCGAGGTCAAGCCTGTATTGACTGCATCGCTACTGACTCGTCAGAACATCGCTTCGAGATAAGCGGTGGCTCGAATAGTTCTGCAGACTACAGCATGGTAAAACAACCAAACCGGAAGTTCTAGCGTCAATGTAGGCTCCAGAGTGTTCGGTCTTCCTTTGTGCATGGTGTAGCGATGCCCTCTTTTGGAAGGATGATAGGCCTTTGGTAGTCGATTCCGGGGCCCCAGATTTCGCGTGTAGAGCGCTTGCACATGACTTTGGTGAAGGGAAAGCTTATCTTTCGCTCAAGCCTTCGATGCGCCGTCAGATCCGTGCCGCTGGAAACATACCAGAAACGTCTCGAAGGTCTGGATAACGACTATGCCCGGGAAAGCAGTTTGGAGGGCAATGTCAAAGCGTGTGCTTGCGTGCTCGAGATGCCGATCGGACATTTGGGCCCTGACAGTGGAGCCTCTGCATTAGTGTGGTACTAAGCCGAAGATGGCAAGTTGAAGGGCAAAGATGGCCTTGAGAAACGCAGGCTACCTTATCACTTGAGGATGTCACTGGCCGGCGCAAAATGTGGACGTTTTGATCAAGTCGACGCCAAAGTGTTCCTTTGGAGTTCCGAGTCTGCCTGTGGACGCCTTGTTGATGGACCCACATTCAGGAAACCACCACATGCCTTCGGCAGCGCGTCTTGGCCAAGTTCTTGTCTATTTTGGGAAATTGAATGGGCATGGCTTCTTGGAGTAGGATGATAGTCATCGCGAGTCTGGTTATGATCATGTGGGACCAACGTCCTTGCAACCTCGGTGCGGGGTGGGTGTGATGAAGACGCGTTGATCGAGGGCGCAGGACATGAAAAGACCAAATGTCCAGCTCTGTCCACAAGGTGTATCTTTGTATCCTCGCTGTGTAACACTTCCTGCATTTTAACCCTTCTTTTACCGCATACGTATTTTCCGCAATGGCCCAGTCGATCGATCTTACAGCACCTAATGGCGCGAAGTGGACACAGCCCACTGGTAGGCATCGATAACTTCAAATATCGTAGGCCTGAATAACTAACATTGGCTAGGCCTCTTCATCAACAACGAATTTGTCCCCTCCAAATCCGGCTCAACACTAGAGTCGATAAATCCTTACGACGAGTCCGTCATCGCAAAGGTCTCCGCCGGTAACGAGGATGATGTAGATGCTGCAGTCGACGCAGCACGAGCTGCCTTCAAGTCATCAGCATGGCGCGACATTTCTGCCGCCGAACGAGGACAATTGCTGTGGAAGCTCGGTGACCTTTGCGAGAAGAACAGCCATATCCTTGCTACCGTCGATGCGTGGGACAACGGCAAACCTTACCAGCAAGCCATGGATGAAGATGTCGCTGAGACTATCTCGGTCTTTAGATACTACGCAGGATGGGCGGACAAGGTGTATGGGCAGACGATTGAGACGAGCAATGCGAAGCTGGCGTATACCAAACACGAACCCCTTGGTGTCTGTGGACAGATAATTCCTTGGAACTTCCCTGTCATGGTGTGTATCCATCGACTCTGGCTGGTGTAATTCAAAGCTGACAAGCCTCATAGATGGCTGCTTGGAAACTCGGTCCAGCATTAGCTTGCGGAAACACCGTTGTGCTCAAACCAGCAGAGCAAACACCACTGGGGGCACTATTCCTGGCCACCTTGATCAAGGAGGCTGGTTTCCCTCCAGGTGTGGTTAACATCGTCAACGGCTACGGCAAGAGCGCGGGCTCGCGACTTTCCGAACATCCGAATGTCGACAAGATTGCTTTCACAGGAAGCACCATTACCGGCCGGGCTATCATGAAGGCTGCAGCAACGAACCTAAAGAACATCACTTTGGAGACTGGCGGCAAGAGCCCACTTCTAGTCTTCGATGACTGCGATCTCGAACAGGCTGTGAAGTGGTCGCATATGGGTATCATGGGTAAGTTCCCTCCTCTTTGCAGTATCCACTTGCCGTACGCAGGACTAACCAAGCCGTCCAGGTAACATGGGTCAAGTCTGTACAGCGACATCCCGGCTCTATGTCCAGGACACCATCTACGACAAGTTCCTCGAAGCATTCAAGAAGCAGACCAAAGAGAGTACCAAGATTGGTTCGCAGTTCGATGCCGACACCAACCATGGACCTCAAGTCAGCAAAGCTGCCCAAGAGAAGATCCTCGCATACCTCGACACAGCGAAGTCAGACGGAGCCGAGCTCGTCTTCGGCGGCCAGCAGAGCGGCATACCAGAGAAGGGATACTTCGTCGAGCCGACTGTATTTGCCAACTGCAGCAATGATATGAGGATTGTGCGCGAAGAGATTTTCGGTCCTTTTGTTGTTATCCAGAGCTTCAAAACGGAAGACGAAGCGGTCGAGAAGGCGAACGATACGGAGTTCGGATTGGGAGCGGCTGTATTCACTCGGGACATTATGAGGGGCCACCGCGTGGCAGGTGCGATCGAGGCGGGTATGGTTTGGATCAACAGCAGTCAGGACTCGCATTTCGGGATTCCCTTCGGTGGCTACAAGCAGAGCGGTATTGGGAGGGAGCTGGGCGCGTATGCGCTGTCTGCGTACACGCAAGTGAAAGCTGTCCATGTTAACTTGGGCACGTTCTTGTAGACTTACTCTTAATGGATGATGATTGGAATTTGTACCATTCCGATGTATGGCTACATACGCAATGTGGTTGTTTGAAGGATGATGATGCTCCTACCCAGATAAGATCTTGGGCGATGAGTGATGACGCAGCGTGTCCTAGACGCGTCGCGTCGGGTTAACACCGCTCCACGCTTATCTCCGTCTCAGCAGCCGCCACCCAGCAGCACCTTCCACGACCACTACTGCAATTCTAGGCTCAACACCCGTTCCTAAGCCCCTCTCCGTTCGAAAGCCGGTCATCGCATGCGAAAAACCCTACAATGGTCCTCGGCTTCGAGCGCATCAACGAGCGCACCCAACGCCCGAACGCGCACATAAACTTCATACGCACACTGCCCGGCCCAACATCGTCCACGGCGGAAAGCATCCTGAACCGCGTCGCAGCGATATGCTACCCCTTCATGAAGTCGCACATGATCCTTGTTCAGGCGCTTGAAGAATTTCCCTATAACACCGAGTTTGTTGGCCGCAATTTCAACGCTGGCGAAGTCATACAACTGGTGCTCAGAGACCGAAATGGAAGATGGCTACCACAGAGGATGGTGGAGATGGTCATGGCACATGAGCTCGCGCACTGCAAGCAGATGAATCACTCGAAGGCTTTCTGGAAGGTTCGAGATGGCTACGCGGTGGAATTGAGGGGGCTTTGGGCAAAGGGGTACACTGGCGAAGGACTGTGGGGTAGGGGTAGAGATCTGGATACAGGAGCTTTGCAAGCGAGCGATGGCGAGGCTGTAGATGTACCCGAGCATCTGTGTGGTGGCACATATGGACGGAAGGGAAACAAGAGGAAGAGAGGTGGAAAGGAGAAGCCCGTGCTGAGCTATGCAGAAAGGAAGCAACGAAGGATACTGAAGAAGTTCGGAGCTGGAGGTCAGGCATTGGGTGCCGACGACGACACAAAAGTGAAGCTGGAGAAGGGCGTCCCAAAGAAAGGCAAGCCTAGGGTCGCTGGTAGTGCACGAGGACGGGACCTCCGAGCTGCGGCGGCATTGGCACGCTTTGAGCCAGTCAAGAAGGAAGAGGAGGTCGTGATAAAGAAAGAAGAACCGTCATCGGACAGCGAAACTGAAGACGAGTTTGTCGAGGGCGATCAAGACGGCGCAGCGGTAGACGTAGATGGCAAGAGCATGTTCGACGACAAAGGCCGCGCCCTGATCAAGATCTGCGAGGATGAAGACGACAGAGATGGTGATGCAAGGAGGGAGATGGACGAGATACAAGGTTTTGCGCCGCAGCCCAAATCAGCGAAGAAGACAACATCGTCCAAAGCCTCGAGCAAGCCGGCAGCGCCGAAGCCAACGAAGACTCAGACTCAGACTGCATCAAATACCGCCTCGCGATCGACTGCTACTCCTAGAACATCAGCAGGGTCGGCCAACTCCCTTCCAGAGATCTACAAACCCCGTCCCAAACCAAACACTTTCGCCGCACAACCTCGGCCATTGCAGAGCTCTGCCTGTCTCATATGCTCACTCGAGAACGAGGCCGGAGCATTGACATGCGGCGCTTGCGCAAACGTACTTAAAGAGGACTTTGTACCCGACCACTGGCGATGCAAGAGCGCTGCTTGCGAGGGAAGCCAGTACATCAACGCCGGGGACGCAGGTGCTTGTGGAGTCTGTGGGATGACCAGGAAGAAATGAGATGGATATTGTGCAGTGAAGCACTATGGAGAAGCGGCTAGTGGCCGCAAGGATGATGGAATAATTATGATACCCAATTTCCTCGAGAATTAACAACACCGTTATAATGCACTGCATTCAGAGCAGATCAGATCCAAATGTCATGACTTCATTCCATGCAATAACGCTACGCTAAAGTCGACAGTGGCAAACCACAACACCCATCCCATGATGATCAACACCAAGCCATGCATAGTAATGACCAAAGAACGCCTTTCGCCTCCCACCACTCACGGGTATTGCAAGTCCTACCGCGCAATCCTCAGATGTGAAGCTCCTAAGTTCTTCCTCGCGCTAGTCGGCATGCCCGCGCCTCTTCCACTATTCCGCCTCATGCCCTCCAACTTCGCCTTGAGCTGCTCATGTATCTTCCTGTTCTGGGCCCACCCATCGGCCAGCTTTTGCATTCGAATAGCGGCGATGACAGCGAGAGCTGCCGATTTGAGTTTGGGTCGACGGTCGTGGACGGTGATGTCGGGGGTGATGCCCATCTGAGAGATGAGATTGAGGTCTTCTTGATTACTGGGAAGTGTTAGTGGTTGTACTGCGTAGAGTCTCTGGTTAAGGGGTGAAGACATACCATTCATTGTAAGTCTGTATCTGCATCAAGAAGAACTTCTTTTGGTACCCAAGGGCTTCCCTGAACGCCTCTGCCCTCGAGCATCGTGCGCGGAGGAACTGGATTTGCTTGGCGAGACCGTTGATCTCCTTGATATGGCGCTTCGTAAGGGCCTCCGCCTGTTCGTCCAGATCAATCGCATCCTGGTTGGCTTTCTGCTGGATGGCCTTCGAGGAAGCTTGGATGAGACGAAGCTGCGATTCCTTCTCACGGAGATGAGACTGTAGGTCTCGTAGTTGACCCTCAAGGGCGGATTGCTGTTCCCGTGCTGTCGACTTGGCTTCTGATAGGGATTTGCGGTGTTGAGCATCCTTGTCGCGGATTCGTCCTTCAAGATCGCGAATCTGGTTCTTAAGAGCGGCTTCTTGTTCGCGCTGTGCCGCACGGGTCTGAGATTGCAGGGCTCCGTTTTCGCTCTCTTTTTCACGTATCATGGATTCCAGAACGGTAATCTTCTCTTCGAGTGAGGCCTTCTCTTCGGCGACTTCGTCGGCATCCTCTTGCAGAACTTCTATTTCAGCTTCGAAGTCATCCTTCTCCCGGCGAGCATTCTCCTTGAGCTCCTCAAGTGCTTCCAAGCGCTCCTCTGCAAGTCGTTGTAGAGCATCGACTTGGCTCCTCTGTTCGTTCAGCTCGTCGCGCAAGTTCTCTAGCTCGTCGTCACGTTTGCGTACTAGGTCCTGCATAACATCGATCTGAGTATCGGGCTCATCGGCATGGCTCCGTAACGCGTCAAGCTCGGCCTCGCGCTCAGTTATCGTTCGTCGCGCCGTGTCCAGCTCCCGGGTCCTGTCACTGAGGTCATTCCTGAGCTGCTTGAGTTCTTTGAGTGTTGTCTCTTGTGCTTCAATCTTCCTCTGCAGGCTCGCGATATCGCGATCACGAGCTTGCAACGTTGATTGCGAGTTCGAGAGATCCCGAGATAGTGCATCCCGTTCGCGCGTGATCTTCTGGAGCGCCTCGATCTGGGTGTCTTTGCCAGATACAGCGGACCGTAAGTTGCGCAATTCGCTCTCGATATCTTTACGCTCTTGCCGAAGAGTAGCTACTAATGAATCGCGGTCGTTGTTTCCTCTTCGCAGGACCTCCACTTGCTCATCTTTGCTCGCCATCTTGGAAACTAAGTTGTCGCGCTCACGACGAAGGTTGTCGCGTTCTCGAATGGCGTTGTTGAGCGACTGCACCTGGGCATCTTTGCTGTTGAGGTTTGAGCGAAGACCGGTAAGCTCCTGCGTCGCGTCATCACGCTCACGTCGTACTCTTTCCAAACCATCCAGATCGCGGTCTTTCTGATTCAATTCGCGTCGAAGCTGTTGCAACTGCTGTTCGTATGCGGACGCTTCCCGTTGTAGGCGTGAGATCTGCTGCATGGCGTCTTGGTGTTGCTTCCGGAAGTCGTCCAGCTCATCGGCTCTGGATTCAGCAGCGTCGACCCTCGATTGGAGGAGTTCAATCTCAACGCCCTTTTCACGAGTAATCTCGACCACCTTCTGTCTGGCATCGTTGGCGGACTGCTGCGCCAATTGAACCTGGTTGTCTCCCTGAGACTCCGCAAGCTCCAAACGTTCGCGCAGTGCATCCATCTCAGCATCTTTCTCGTTCTGAATGGTATGGAGGCGTCGCTGCAGTTCTCGGAGTTCCGCATCCTTTTCGCGCTCCAGTGAACGTAGGCGCTCCTCGAGAACAGAGAGTTCCTGACGTTTTTGCTCCTCTGCGACCTCGAGATCATGTTCCGCTTCATCCAGGCTCTCGTTCAGCTCCCGAATTTCCTGGTCCTTGCTGTCGTCTGCGCTATCAAGTTTGGACTTCAAGGCGTTGATCTCAGCGTCCTTCTCGCGTTCGACAGCACCAAGTTGTTCCTGGAGGTCCTCGATCTTCTCGCCCTGTTCGGCCACCTGCCGCTCCTTTTCTGCGGCGTCTTCTTCTTGTGACTGCTTGGCCGATTGCAGCTGTTCTTCCAACTCGGCGATGCGTGCAGCTTGGTCCCTGAGTTGGCGGTCTTTCTCCTCGTCACCGGCAGACTGACAGATTTGCGCATTCTTCAGCTTCTCCTCCAAGTCCTTAATCTGTTCGTCCTGGTCGTCTAGCATCTCGTCTCGTCTGTTGAGCTCTGCTTGTGCCTCGTCCAACTCTGCTCTGACTTTGTCCAGCTCCTCGCTGTCGCCGCTCTCTTCTTCCAGCTTCCTTTCGAGGCGCTCCACCTCAGCCGCGCGTTCGTCAGCTAGCCGTCGGAGCTCGTCCATCTCTTCGCGCATGCCTTCGTCGACGTGCCGTCGCTTGACCTTCTCCGCGTATTCCCGTAGCTGCTGCTTGTATGTGTCTAGTTCCCTCTCAGCCGCTTTGAGGTCTTTCGAGTAGTTCTTGATATCGCGCGCCATCGTGACCTTCTCCGACTTAAGGTTGATGTTCTCCTCCATGGCTTGTCGGTTGAATTCGGGGCCCATCTTCTTCAGGTTCTCTTCGAGGAAGTGGATTTTGAGCTTTAGTCCGAAGTTTTCCTTGTCGATCTGCTCCAGACGCTGCAGTTGTGTTAGGACCTGTGAGTAGTCATGGGCGGGCGGGGCCGGATATACATACCGCTTCCTGCTCTCTCAGAGTGAGCACATTGCCGTTTCCGTTGTCCATCTCGCCCTCTGCCCTTCTTGGTAACGCGGTAGGCGTGCTCATAGCACTCGAGCTGGGGTCTGGCAGCTGTGTCCGGCCATCGACCGAATCGGCGAAGGAACTGGATTGTATGTCGTACATGCTCGCCTCGGGCAGCGGCGTGTTGCTCACTTGAAAGCCGGGCTTCATTGCGGCAGGCGTCGTGATCTTGCCGTCGAGCAGTCCGTTGACCTGGCGCGTGCGATTCGCGGTTGCGCTCTTCAGCATAGGCGTGAATTCGTTCTTCGCGGTTTGTTGGCGGCGGGATGCAAGCGGCTGTCGGGGGGTTCGGGCGCCGCCCATCTGTTTGAAGAGGTTGTCGCGGTCTGTCGGCGCATGGAATGTCTCCTCCATGCTGAATGAGGGCTCGTTGACTGTAAAACGCGTCATATCGCCAACCTCGGTGCGAGGCGTGTCCGGTAGGTGCGCCATGGTATAGAATGTACTCTAGCAGCGCATGAGTGAGAGAAATAGAAAGGTCCTTTGGGGCGCACCTCAGCAGTGCGGATGCTTCATGTTCCACTTCATCATACTCCAGATGTTGTTTGTTTAGGGACGCTTGGACCACGACAGGGATACTGCCCGCCGCTAGCCCATGCAGGCAAGGAGCCGAAAAGCGCGTCCTGGAGTCACGTTACCTCTTTGCCGCCTGCACCAGAAACTTCATCCCAGGGGTGAATGTTCCCTTACGACTAAGTACACCGATTTCCGCCTCTCGAGCGCAGTGGAGATATAAAATCACGTCCGAGAGCTATCGAATCGACAATACCCATACAAGCTTTGGGCTCAGTGTCGGACGAATCACAGCGAAGCCAGCACAAATCTGATATTGACTGGCTCCGAGAAGAAACCGCCTGGAAAATTGATTCTACATCATGGACGGGCCCCAGGATGATCTCAAGTGGTTCGGCGAAGGTTTCGATGGCTTTCCCAAAAAACTGCCCGACGATGTTGTCGAATACATGGTCTTCATCATCGATTCCAGGCTATCGGACATTCAAACAAGGGAACGATTACAAGCTTTCCAGCGCGCTCTAAATGCATTAGAGAGGAAGTTCCTCAAAGAGTACATATGGCAGCGTGACTCTCTCAAGCTCGATCTAGTTCGCGAAGAACACCGGTGGCTGCTCAAAGGGCGGTCGAACTATGGCGATAGTGTGGCAGACGAGTGGCTGATTGTCTACCTTTTACGTGAACTAAGCAAAGAGTTCAAGGACGCATGGATACGCATATATGACAGCGATGGAGAGTTCCTCTTGATCGAAGCGGCAAATGCGCTGCCGAAATGGCTGAACCCTGAGGTTGCCGAGAACAGAGTCTGGACCAACAGTCATCGCCTACTCATCATACCACTCGGGAAAGAAGAGGAGCCTGGTCCTTTGACGCAAGCACAAGCTATTCAAATCATCGACGCTACACCAGCACGACCACAGCAGTACATCAAAGTTGAAAAGGAAGCTTTTCATCGCCTGGCTGGATATCCGGCTGCCATCTCGGAGAATCAACATCATGCGACTCTTCCTCTGCCAAGGAAGGTTGCGCATATCCTGCATAGCAACCCGTCGTATATTGCCCCAGTAGTCGAAGCGTTCTATCTTCGAGATCCCATCTCCATCCGACTCATTCAACCCGAAAAGTCCAAAACCCCGCTGACGTTCCCACCAGAAGACTTTGTAGACGTTAGCGTGCGTTTCACTAAAGTTCTTTACGCTCAGCTTCTCGGTCAGCATTGGGAACCGCCCGCGCCATGGGACACAGCACTGGAGCAGCTCGTCAAGTCTGGTAGACCAACCGAGAAGGCAGAGATTGGGATCAAGATTACAGCAGGCATGCAGATGCTTCTGTCGCACTCCTTGTATGCGTCCCGCAAACCGATGCGTGAGATTGCGCTTCTACTAGAAGACGTAGAGAACGGTGACGACACACTTCCTAGCAACGCCGAAATCGCCGGTTGGCCCAAGCGTGAAGACGACGAAGGGTGGCTCAATATTGACTTCTCCGAGTTTGAGAAGGAGCTCGAAGGCAAAGGAAGCGGCGCGAAAGACGCGTTCGGTGACAAGAATGCGGAGGAGAATTTGAAGAAGATGGTCGCACGCTTCAATGACTTCCTGGCCGACAACGAAGCAGGCGCTGAGGGTGCTGATGGCGTTCTGGACCCCATGGATGTCGATAATGACTCTGAAGCTGGCAGCAGAGGATGGGAAGACCCGGAAGATAGTGATTCGCCAGCCGAGAACGAAACCAAGAGCAAGGGCAAGAGCAAGGCGAAGGCCAGGAATAGCGAAGATGAGGATGACACGGATGAAGAAGACGACGCAGAAGCCGACGCGGAGTATGCCGAATACGAACAAGCCTTCGAAAAGTACATGATGCTACCCGCGGCGGAGAAAGCCATTCTCACAGAGGAAGCTCGCGCACTAGCGCTCGAACAAGACGCTGAGAAGGAAGAAGACGAAGAGATCCAGAAGCTCTCCGAGATGATGGAAGCTGAACTTTTCAGCCATGGCGCACTAAACGTCAACCCCAAATCGGAACATAAGCCCGGAACGGGTCTCTTGTCTGATAGCAAAGGCAAGGGCAAAGGGAAGCTTCAGGAGGTCGCTGAAGAAGATGAGGAGGATGAAGATGACGATCTTCTAGACGAAGACTACAACCTCGCTGATAACATGCTAAAAGCGTTCAAGGGACAGGCTGGCATGGCGGGCCCTGCAGGCAACATGATGAGGGCGATGGGTGTGCAGTTTCCACAGGACGCTGATGATGAGATCAAAGGGAATAGTAGTAAGGGTAAAGGGTTGTGAGATGTTTAGCACGTCAAAGTATCTAGTCTAACAACACCCACACCACCCACCCTATGTCTCTTCCTCCATCCACTCATACTTATCTCTGCCCACTGCCACTTCCAGTGCTTCCGTCTCCACTTTGACCCCATTCTCCCTCAACGTACCGTTGCGCATACTTACTAATCGCCTGTATATTGGCGAACTCTCAGCGACCAACTTCCTTCTTCTGTTTATTACCTCCGTTTGACTCTTCCCTTGTATCTTCAACATCTGCGCAAGCTCTTTGTCCTCTTTACCCTCTACATACAAACGCAGAATCGCTTCGTCATCTTCCGGAGTGAAGTGACAAAGCTTTTTGCGCCGCTGTAGATCGATGACATCCTGCGGTACTCTTTTCATAACCTTGAGGGCTTGCCATCGAGATTGGATCGCTTCGACCGGGACGTTCATCTCGCGAGAGATAGCCTTGGGCTTCTGCAGGCGGCGGTGTCCATCGATCACCGCGGCATCGAGCTCGGGAGTCCAGTTTATGCTGGCGCTCACGTCTCTTTGTCGGATCATGGCGTAACGATGCTGAGTAGCATGTGCGGTACGGTGTAGGACCTGCGCTGCTTGTTCATAAGTCATTGTCTCTATCTCAATGAGACGGATGAGTTGGCTTTCCTCATCGTAGTTCCATCGACGCTTCTCGGCCGGGGCTTTCCGGGGACAGGGTTCGCTGGGGTATAGGGCGTCCATGATGAATCAAACTTGAAGGTCGTCCTTTGAGTGTTAACGAGTTGAGTAAGCCGGTTTTGTGAGTGTTAGTAACATTATGTGGGCATAGTAGCTGAGTATATATCTAGAGAGGAAAGTGGCGGGAAGTGTCACCTGTAACATGCGTTAGGCACCAGAAGGTGATCACAGCTTGAATATGAATTCACTTCTATCGAATACGATCCTGTGCCCTTGCAAGAGTACATGGGCAAGTATTGTATAGCTCGTAGAGGCAGTCCCAGTCTGGTGTAGCCCCCTGCTAGGTAGCGATCAAAGTCATGAAACCGAGTGAATGAGAATATTCCTGATGGGAAATAGCTCGTTCTAGTAGTGCGATTGGCTTTTTCACAATAAATGCAAAGCAAAAAGGTCCTAATGAGGTCGGAAATGGATGAGTTGAATCGAAACTTATCGCACTGTTGACCATGGGATCTAAGAAGACCCAGGAAGAATGGTGCGGCCACCCGCCAGAAGCACTGGATGCTCATATGACCTGTGAAAAGTTCAATACCAATATCACTGGCTCCGCATCCTGCAAAAGCCATTCACACATCCCGATACAATGCAAAGATCTTGGTTGTAGCCAACCTGCTCATGTACTGCCCATGCTCGCTAATCGAACACCATAAACTCCTCCATGAACTTGTCTGCCTCCTCGTCAGTTGGATTCGTCCTCTCCTTCTCGTGAAGATAGACCGAGTGCACTGCCTGCTTAAACCACCGACCAAGGTTATACCTCACTTCCTCTTCATCACATTGACTGAGCCACCCAGGCGTGTGGTACAGGGCTGTTGCCGTCTTGCGGCAGCTATTTTGCACAGCCCGCAGGACTTGACCGTGAACCTTCCACCTTCTGTCGTCACCGTAGACAGCGATCCCATATTCTCCAATATGCTCCTTCGTAAGCGATGCCCACTCGGCCGCGAGGTAAGGTCCAACAACGCTGCGGGGAACGAAGCCGCTTTGCTCCATAAATACGCCGGAGGAGGGATGTGGTAGTTCGAGACAGATGTAATAGTAGTCGCCGTACTCGTACGTAATGCCGATTCTGTTCAAGTCTACGGTGTTGGGGTTGAAGGTAAAGAAGCTGTCTCGGAAGTAGCACGAAGGACCATAGTTGGGAGCGGGCTGGTCACTACCGGACGCCGGTAGAGTGACGGTAGAATCGCTGACCTTTTTCGCAATCTGGCGCGCTTCAGTGCCGGTCACCAGGCTGTCTGATCGTGCTTTGAATTTGGAAGCGTCCGGAGGAGATTTGACCGCGTCAGATGCGTTGTGACGAGGACGCCGTCTGGTGATACTGTATGGATATGCGTCGACGTTGATCTTGAGTACCGAGATAATGTTAGATGCTTCCGTTACTGTAGATAGCGAAGCGCCGTAATCGCGTTCCGCCATATTGTAGGTAATATGCTGTCAGTCCGAGGTGGAAGAAGGAAAAGGAATTTGAAACGAAAGGTAGAATCGCAAAGATTGAAGTCGCGTTTGTGACAATAGTAGATCCTTGTGGCGACGCGAGCGAGCCACTTTAGGTGACGTAGAGTTCGCACAGCATCTCGCAACTTCAATTCAGCTTTTTGACGTCTTTCGGTTTCTTTTTTGGCTTTGCAGTAATCGTTCGAGGCTCGTCGACAATATTTCAGCGCAGTGCTACAGGGAGTGGATGCCCGCCCATGTATGGCTCCAGGCACTACGAGCGTCCAACCATGGAACAGAAAAGTCGCATTGTGGGTCACTCGCAAAGTGAAAACTAGACCGATGTAAGTCCAGGTGAGAGTAAGCGGGTAAAGGTCTTACGGATATAGCGTACGCGACCTCCGAGAACTTGTGACCTTCGCTAGACATCCACCTCACTGTCAGTCCTGACATCCAGCGTATCCACCCCGCTTCTCTCTAGCTCAACCACGATGTCCAACTCAGAGTCTCTACTAGACATCGAGGCGGTCCACAGAAGCGTCGGACTGATCACGCCCTCCTCCGCTCCGCGACCCATACCCACTGCGATTATCGCTGATCAAGGCGCCTACTGTAATGTAACCTGCACAAAATACATTCGAGACACAGACTGACGTCATAACCCAACATCTAGACGTGATCTGCTTCGAGCCCGACAATGCCGGCGTCGTGACAACCCCACCGCTCTCTGCAAGAAAAGACTTCGTCGCCGCCAACTATCCAGACCTCGTTCAAGCTTGGAACAGGAAGAAAAAAGATGACTGGGAAGAAGCGTTGCGGATGAAGCAGAGGATTACCGACTACGCGGTCTTTTTCCGGGGTAGGCAGCGCGCTGGAGTATTGGCAAGACGCGATGCGGGAGTAGCATGCGATCAAAAGTTGCTCCCGGGGATGAAGCGCCATTTCGGTGAGTTGCGACCCTGTGCAACACACGCTCGCGAGCGGGGTGCCTTCCTGGTCTGCAATGGCTGTCGTGTCGCGCATCATGCGCAGGTAGAGCGAGACTTCGAGCGAAATCTCCTGATGACGGAAGGAGCGCGCGTGCCAGTGTGCGGGTTCTGCGCGAGGAGGTCGATCCTGGATCTGGGCGAGGGACACCGAGGTTGTGTATGCGATCAAGACTGGCAGTGTTTTCGGTGTCGAGAGGACTTTCTCAGAAAACTCGCAAAAGCAAGGCAGCGGTCGCACGTGGAGGGAAAGTGTGGGAAATGCGATAGTGTGGATGACGTCGTGGAGCATGTGAAAGTATGTCTCCTCTGTCAGGGAGTGAACGTGTATAGCAAGCATGTGTAAAGAAGGTTGAGATGAGACAAGAGCGGACATTTTGGAATCACTTTCGAGAGCTTCATGGAGAGAACAGATAGCTGTTACTTTTAAGATGCCTACTTTGCCTAGAACAACGAAAGGGTAATAGCAGCATAGACGAAGTTGAACCAAATTCACGACGCTCTTTTTCCGCGGAACCTCAGTACCGTGGCGTGAGTTTGACATCTAGCTTCCCCACATTGATGGTAAAGCAGTCCCGGGTCTTGTTTTCGATCGTGCTGCCATCTTCACCCTCGGCAAAAGAGATCTCGAATGATCGAACAAGGTTGGCAGTGACACTGCGCAGTTCCATCATGGCTAGCTTCTGTCCAATACAGTTGTACGGTCCAATGGAGAAAGGCAGATAGGCACGTTTGTCGATGACAGCACCAGGTCGTTCGCCGGTCCATCGCTCTGGCATGAAGGATAGCGGCTCTTCAAAGTATCGTGGATCGCGTTGCAGGCTGTAGAACGGCATCCAAACGTTGATCTTGCCGGGTATGTATGTGCCGTTGGGTAGGATTATTCCTTCGGGTGGTGTCTCGCGCTGCGCTCCGGAGGGTGTCTAAATATGTTAATGATGTCAATGAGGGCCTCCTAAGGAGTATACTCACAGCAGGATGAAGGCGCAAAGTCTCGTTGATTACCCCGTCCAGGTAAGCACACTCGGTGACGTCTTCAACATCAAGATGCCCCTTGTTCGTTTCGATTTCATCAATGGCAGTGCGAAGCTTGGCCTGGGTCTCGAGATTCTTGCACAATTCACACAAGAGAAATGATAAAGTTGCAGCCACGGTATCGCTGATGATTGTGTCAGTATTCGGGACTTTATCTGGGGGTTGCAACAGGACCAAGTGCAATGCCGTATCTAGGCAGAACCTCGTATCGCCCGGCATCAAGTCCTGCATGGAGATTGCTTACCTGCCAGCTATGATCAGAAGCCGCGAATCAGAATTCATTTCGGGCGTTATCCGGTCGTCATTTGGGTCCAATAGAGAAGAGAAAACGTCCTTCTCTTTGGGTGTATTCTGGCATTCGTGAGCAAACTTCGTTGAGACGGAGGTCATGACCATGATATGCGTACCTTCTTCCGCTCTTCGAGAACCTTTGCACTCCAGGCTATATGCTCAAAAAGGGGTCCAGAACCGACGGGCGTCAGTGCTATGAGCCGCATAGCCCAAGATATGTGTGCAAAGATGCTTATGGGCGCCTGGCTTTCGTGTAATAGCTTGATGACAGGGTCTTCTTCGCCCTTTTCCACCATATCAAAGCTGCGGTTGAAGCCAACATCTCCCATGACGTCAAAGCTGTAGAAGTTGACCCAGTCGGTAATTCGCACTGAAGATCGCGTAGCTTGTTCCTTGAGCTTGGACATGAGAGCAAGAGCATGGCGGTTCAAGCGAGGCTCATATTCGCGGAGAGCATTCGCGTTGAATGCACGATCCCACATCTTGCGCCTCTGTCGATGTTCATCTTTGTTAGTTGTGAAATGAAGAGAACGCCCTGCTACTTGGGAAATACTGTCATATATAGTGTTCTTCTTGCACTTCGAAGTTGCTCCGTGGATCAGAGGAACGGCGTCAGCGCAGTAGACCGTGACTTCTACATTTGGACAGGCAAAGTCAGTGTCTGTGCCACTTACACATTCATTGTCTTGGGCTCACCTCTAGGACCAGTACGAATGACGTCTTCTCCGTACTGTCGGGGTAAAGAGTCGAGCCATGAGAAATACTGGAAGTTGGTCGAAAGTACCCCGACCGAGATACCGTATAACTTTGAGAATCGGGCGAGGAAGGGGCCAGGAAACTTCGCATTGTCAGCAAATACTACTTGATCAACGTCAACGAAGCGCTTGCCTTCCGCAAGCGATGGAAGAATCCCCTATGCAGTAATATGCTGGCAACTAAGATGGCGAAATAGAATGTTGCCGTCCTTGCCGCAAGCTGCATTGCGACACCAGGAGATTTGGTGGGCGCATCAGCAACATATTCGAGAGTCGCAATGCCTCCAAATGCGACAGTCCAGACTCCAATGACTGTGTGAAAGGTATTATCCCAGTCGGTTCGGTGAAGAGCATGGTGAGTTGCCAACGCTAGTGTCGCGACCAGCACCTTGCTGTGCGCAAGCTCGATGATACCGTACGACATGGTAGCCGGTGGACAAGGTGAGAAAGGATCTCGGGAGATGTTGGAACAATGAAGGGGTTGCTCAGACCATGATGAGGACCTCAAGAATGGAAGGCTGGACCCTGGAAAGCTGAACATTTGGACGGACCGTACGAGTGAAACGCACGATCTTGGTAATTCGTGTTAGCACGCGCGGCTGAGAGCTACAGGTAAGTTTTGACCAAAGCTGAGAAAGCACAGCATTTTAACAATCGGCATTGTACTGCGGCGTAGTTGATTGAGCAAACATCGCCTCTATCATGCTGTGCCTCCTATGCCCAGGTCTGAGGTGGATATTTTGGAATGCGCCTGCGGATCGTCAGCTTGCAGGGGTTACGTTGTACCAAGCGGGGCACTAACCTAACTGAGGACACTTGGCACGAGCTCCTTGCTTGACAATCGCGTCGCTGCACGATCTTTCTTTTCAGAACTCTACGAATCTCCAATTACATGCCGAGGTCTCAGCCCCGAGGTACATCCTGTGGTGTCACAATGCGCTTATGAAGCCACCACGACGTGAAACTATTCTCCTAACAGAACCTTGCTGATAAGACCTAGTCTAAAGACATCCTGAAGCCATGAATGTCTCTCGGACCTGTCGTTGCCAAGCGGTCGTCAAGTCTTCCTCGCTCGATCGAACCCTGTCATCTTCTGACTCGCAATCGCTGTTGAACAGTTCTATTCTGGAAAATTCACGGCTGACGGATATGCCATCCTGCACGGCGACTCGGTAGTGCACTTGGAAGTCAAGCCTGGAATCGACGCATGAGCCTGATCCATCCGCTAGCTTGCTTCGTGGTTCTGCAAGCATGTGGCGCCGCATGTGAGATATTGTATCTGCCACTCTTCGCAGCCGCGGACGATCAAATTTCCAATGTACGTTGAGGTGTTCGAGCGTTTCCACTTTCAACAACGGTTCGATCCAGGAAGCGACCCACGGTCTTGGCCCAACGGTCATCTGTGCTTCCCACAACAAACACTCTTCCGCCGAAGAAGGCGCAGTGTCATAGCGCTGATGAGAACTGCTGATCATTAAACGAAGCCTCCGTAACCCCATACGCGTGGTGGACAAGAGAGTACAGAGGTCCGTGAAGTGGTTATAAGCGAATTGCAGCACAAGCGAGTCTGTTGACCTGCGAAGAACGGGATAATGAGCTCCGATGGTGCCTCTCATATTGCTCGCTTCCACTAAAGCAAGCTCCATGGAGGAAATAAGCTTGAGGGATTCGGGAGGCCTGTCGCACAAGAACGCGAAAGCGGTCGGTATGCTGAGGCTCTCCGTAAAGCTGAAGATATTCTGTCCATAAAAGACCTTTCTAGCTTCGTGATAGATCTGCCGGCATGTTTGCAGCAACCGAATTTCGATGTGGTTGGAGGACGTGTCTGATGGAATTGCAAGTTGATATGTCATTCGGATGTTCGTAGGCCCATCCCTTGAGTCGTACTCCGCGGAGGTCAGACCAATGTCGAAGCGAGGTGTCAGCCAGATCCGTCGGTGGGCGCGTAGACGTCTCAACGGGTAAGCTTTCTCGAGCCCACGGGTACTGCGGCAAGCTGGGGCTTCCGATAGGACGGCTGCGCTTTGAACGGGAATCACATCGCATACGAGAACGTAACCATAAATAAGATCTCGAAGCTCCCGCGGAAGTTTAAGAAGTCGCGAAGACATGGTGGCACAGATCAGGGGTTCACTGCGCAGCCGTTGAGGATAAAGGCGTGTCAAGTCGATTAGGGGAGATGTGATGACGCCGTTCGTTCCGAGAAAGGCTAGATCAATTGACCGCGCACCTGGACAGGGGCCGAGGTCGGACTATCCCCCGCCCCTCTCCTCACGCGCCATACGACCACCTTACACAAGAAAGAAACTAAACAGGTGCACTGGCGTCTACAGTAAAGTAATAGCTGGAGGAAACAAGACCTGAAGGCAGTGTACCTAGGTACACTTCAAAGAGATGCGTGTTGAAATCTTCCTTTGCACGAAGCTCATTCTGTCAGCTCCAGTTCCCTTCTATTAATACCAGATGACGAGTATAGACTGGGTTCATGTTCACAGAAGGAAAAGTCAAGGAGTGAAGACATAGCTAAGGATGTGACAGTCAAACTGGCTATAAGCTGTATATACAAGAATCTTATCGATCGTCACTTCAGTTTTCCCTCCACTCTGTCACCACCATTCCCAGCCTTGCGATACTCGTTTGCTTCCTGGTCTCCACCAAGTGTTAAACACTTTACAAGTTGGCAGCAATGAAGCTACGGAGAGTAGCCTGGCCAATGTTGGCGTACACACCAGGGGCGTTGGGGGCAGCGCAGCCATCACCCCAAGAAACGGCACCGAGGAGGACCTTGGTGGACTTGTTGACGATAGGACCGCCGGAGTCACCCTGGCAAGAGTCCTTTCCACCCTGAGAGAAACCAGCGCAGAACATCTGGGTGGTAACAGCCGAGGTTCCGTAAGAGGACTGGCAGGAGCTGCGAGAGATGACAGGAACGTCGACCTTGAGAAGGTTGACGGGGAGCGACTGGCCGCCGGAAGAGGTAGTACCCCTAATCTGAAAGTTAGCTATGTGTTTCGGATAGACTCTGCACGGATAAGAATGACAAAACTTACCAGCCAGCAACGGTGAGGGTGGTTCCAGCAGCAGGGTCAGATCCGGACGCGGGGAGCGTAGCGTACGACACGGTGGAGCTAGTAGGAATGGAGGTGGACAGCTTCATGATGGCGATATCACCGTTGTAGGTGCTCGCGACGTAGCCAGGGTTGACCTTGATGGAGGAAACACGGGCAACAACACCGCCGGAGGTACGGCTCTGGATTCATGTGTTAGCCTAAACAAATCTCGTGATCAAGGTGGAAACTTACGTTGGAACCAGCGCGAACTGAGAGGCTGGAGGCAGTCTGGCCAACAGCGCAGTGAGCAGCAGTGAGAATGGTGTTGGCGTTCAGAAGGGTGCCACCGCAGAAGTGGGAACCAGAGCGCTGGAGGGAGACGATGAAGGGGAATTCACCCGCGCTGGCGGTTGTTCCACCGACAATGTCCTCCTGGCTGCCGTTCTCCCAGTCGGGGATCTCAGTGGGATCCTGAGGGATGGCTGCGGAGAGTACCACCGCTGGGATGGCGAGGACGGTGAGGAGATCTTTGATCTGCATCTTGAAGGAGGTTGGCCGGAAAGCTGGAGTGGGACTGAAGCTGGAAGCGAAAGACTGCTGGTTCTCTGATGAGGACTGGCCTGAGAATGAGAGGAAGACAGCCTCCTATTTGTACTCGACTGGTCACTCTCTAGTCTTGCGACTTCGATATGGTGGTATACACCAACCTTGCCACATTGTTGTCGTGTGGTCCAGGTGTGCCAAAGGTCCCAAGACCGCTAGAACAGGGGATATTCGATGCTCCTTCTGCATGTAGAAGGAGAAAAGTAGTGTACAGCGGTGATTGGTACTGTTGCAGTTATAAGTTCCTTCTACAGCCTAGCATCCTTCATGCAGCCATCCGTCGATGTGGTGCTTATCTACTGCATGACTATCGATACCCCGGAGAACCCGCGCTCGTCGCCAAACGGGAAGCTGTTTCAGCACACTATCGTACAACTGGTTCTGCATAGTAGTGTCTCCGGCCCTAGGGGGTATTGTGCCCAGTTCGGCCGGCAGTGGCTGGTTTCACGTGCCAACGTCGGTGAACGCCAGGTGCCATCGAGATGGAGGGAAAAGAAATTTGGGAAACATAGGCGGAAGGCCAGTCAGGTGCTGCTGTGGCAGTACAAATCTCCAGCCTCTAGGCTGAGACTACGCCGGTGCCGGTGCCGGGTGATCTGCCTTATGGCGTTACACGGATGAAGATCCTAGGTGAAGACCTACATAGCACCTATAATTGGCTCATCCGGTGGGAGATCGATGATTGCGATAAGATCTAGCAGTTGCGACTACAAATGACGAGTGGCCTGCAGCGTCCGGCGGTCTCCCCCATGGACTCGTTGCCAAGCCTTACCAAGCTTCCGTTTATATTGCAGTCGTGGGCGCGATATGCGAGATAGCAAATGGTTGGTGTGGGAGCATCGTCTCCCTGTGAGGCCTGTCTCGAAGAGGCAGTTACTGGTGAGGGTGGGGCTTGGCATGCGGCCCGGCCCCTGCACATTCCCTCCGAAACACTCCGCCCTACCTGCTGCGATCGCCACAACACCTGAATCATCTCGTATGGACGCGGACTTCGCGACCTAATCAGACGGAAGAGACCTGTTAACAGTAGGTGGCAAGAACTTTGCCCCCACTGCGTCATTTATCATGGACAGG